TTAATTAGCATGTATATTTGTCAATTGGCATGTATTTTTGCGAATATTGATTAGCAGGCATATAATTTGGCGAACTGATAAGAACTGTTTAATTTTTATTTAGTTTTAGATTTCAGGATGTGTTTTTGGAATTTTGAGTGCTTTTATTTTAACTTAGCATGCATTTGTATGCTGTTTACAGAAGAGCATGGATATTTGTGCATATAGCAGTTTTGTCCGCTTCGGCGCCCCATATTTTTCAGCATAATCAGCACTATGATACCTTACTTCCCATCATCCCCTGCAGGCATAAGGCCTGTTTACACTTGCAATTTTTGCTGCGATTTTAAGTGCGATTTTTTCTGCTGACGTGATGGCGACATGAAATCGCCAGTGTAAACACCCTGCGATTTAACTGCAAGTCCAGTGCAACCTCACTGCGACAAGCTGCAAATATTTCGATCATGATCAAAATTTATCGCAACTCACTGCGATTTTTCAAAAGATGTGAACAAAAAACGACTGTGCTACCCGCCTACCCCTCAACGGCAGGCGTTGTCACCTTCCATAAAGGTGTTTATCAAAGCCAAGCAACATAAACTTATAAATATTTACAATTCTTCACTTTCACGCTGTTTTTAAAAGCAATATTGCACAGGTAAATCTATTATATAAATGCAGTTAACTAACAATAACATATGAAATAAAAACGAAGTACTACGAACTACTGCAATACTATAAATATTTACCGCGTTCATTTTGGTCTTTGTCTTTGTACTGACTTCAGAACAAAAACTGGTGTTTCTATTCGTTTTTGTGCGAGTGGTAGTTCAATACAAAAAGTTTTTTCAGACCCATTTTGCATGACATAAGTCTTGTCCTTGGCTTTTATACGCTGTATTCTTATAGAATAAACTAAAACAGGCGACGAACAGTCGGGAATTTTTTCTACAGCCAATCACTTGTCAGAAAACAGCCGTAAACAACCTAATTAGAACAAAATCTTTGTATTGCTTGTAAACTTGAGTCATGTATTGAAAATTTAATTCAGTTTACAAGCCAGTAAAATGGAAAAATCGCTGCAAATTGCAGTGTTGTCGCACCAAAGTTGCAGTCAAAATCGCAGGGTGTGTACATTGGAGATTTCAAAAAATCGTTGTAGAAATCGCAGTGAAAATTGCAAGTGTGTAAACAGCGGCAGGTACAAAACGCAGGTTGCAGGTTGCAGGTTGGAATTTTGCAGGTTGCGAATTTTGCAGGTTGGAATTTTGCAGGTTAGGGATTTTGCAGGTTGGAATTTTGCAGGTTGCCAGGAATTTTGCGAGTTGATGATGCAATTTAAAATTACACCACTATAAAGTATTCTAGTATAATTTAATTGTGTATTAAATTGTTTGACTCCTTGTCGGGGCTTTTGATATCAGCCTATCCTGCTGCCATATGTTCCTAGCCTTTGCTCTAAGGAGTCGCCATCAATGCCCATCACCCTTGTGAAAACATTCAAAATGAGCAGATCGGCTTGGACCTCCAGTGGGACGAATGTTTCGATACATGACGTGGTGGCAGTTCAGAAAATGCCTGAATGAGGTGTCTCTCCTCTGCACCCACTTAAGAGAGGTCCACTCAAGCCCCCAATTACCGTATCATTACCCGAGAGTTAGTTAACTTTTGACAACATTCTAGTATAAACGCCGTCACGTCATGTAGGCACCTCGCAACAATCAAAACATTCGTCTCCCTGTAGCTCCAAGCCAATCTGGTCATTTTGAATGTTTTCACGGGGGTGATGGCCACTAGCATTAGAGCAGAGGCGCTGACAAGGAGTCAGACTGCAATAAATGCACAACTAAATTATACTAGAATACTAAAAAAGTGGTGTAATTTTAAGTTTGCATTATCAACCTGCAAAGTTCCTGGCAACCTGCAAAATTCCAACCTGCAAAATCCCCAACCTGCAAAATTCCAACCTGCAAAATTCCCAACCTGCAAAATTCCAGAGCAGGGTTTGTCATTACCAATGCGCGAGAAGACCCCGCACGAGAAAGCCCCTGTGCACGAGAGCGCCCCAACCAAATATGGAAGTTTTCGCTGCAGCGAATTGCTTATCAGCGGTTGGTACGTAAAAAGGAATAGAAATTCTCTGAGTAATCAGACGAGCCTGTTGAACAAAGTCTACGAAGATACGAGAGGAAAGTCTACGAAGATACCAGTTTTATAAATACCTGGTAAGTTATCGGTCTGTTTATTTTACATTTGAGACTAGTTGTTCAACGTCATATAGCCATATTTATGATTAATAAACAGAATTAGCTAAAACATCTTGCTAACAGATCGCCAACACAAACGTGCATACAAAATTACAAATATGACATTGCAAACAGCAGAACATATCTTATTTATGCTGGTCGTTTCGTTTTGTATTAACTATTAATACCGTATTTAATGGAATATTATTGAATGGATATTTTTAATTTTGGCAAGTACTGTAGTGTAAATTATTTACGAGAAAATGTCATATTCCACTTGCCAGGGTGTTTTGGTTGTTTTGACAGTTTATCACAATCTCTTTGTACCTTCATTCCAACCCAGATTGTCCAGTTAGTGAGTGTTTAATTAATATATGGGAAGATTTTCAAGTGAGATTACATGAACACAAATTACCCTTTTATTATTTGTACTATAATATATAACAACAGCAAGTTC